TTTGTGGCTAGACTGGGCTCTAGAACCCAGCCTGGGTGAATCTGAGCTCTACACATTCCTGGAGGTCTTGTTTCTCTCCCAAAAGAAGTTGCCCTGGCGAAGCTGAGTGTGTGACCTTAACCACAGGGAACCCCATCGGGTGACTCGGGTCTGGCAGGCAGCCCTATCAATATGGATTCGCAGGGAATTCCTCAGCTCTGCTTAGGGAGGGTGAGGCTCGAGAACAGTGGTTCCTTCCCTGGCCAAAGGCTCCTGTCCGTACGAAAGGGGATTCTGCATGTTACGTGCCTAGCAGCGTGCTTTGCACATATGAGCCTCCTGTAAGTAACAGGGCTTGTGGCTGGTGTCTTCGTCAGGGAAGAGAGGAGGGGGTGAGGGCACGTGTCGGGTAATGGTGAGGCAGGCTTCTCGACAGAGCTGGGGCTGCGGATAAAAGTCGAATGAACATATGGATAAATATTTGTCCGTTTGTTTAAACCAGCACAGTGTAGTTGAAAAGCTTCTTTAAGCTCCACCTTCTATATTGCTTACTCTGTGACCTTGGACAAAATCACCTCTCCTCCCTCAGCCTCACTTTCCTTGTCTATAAAATTGAGATTGGGACTACTTGTTGAAATCCGGTTCAACATAACATTTTATGGCTTTATGTTAATGTAACAACCTAAGTAAAGGAAAGTAATCTAAGTACAGGAAAGAAGAAAGCACTGATCACTATAGGATAGACATCACATACATTAAATTACCTTGTATTCTTGGGCGTACATCCCCAGAGGGAGGGCCTATCTAGCAGGCCCTCCCTCGGAGGAACATCCTTCCTTCCCAAATGCCCACCTTCCTGACTCTGACACTGCTAGCCTACTCTCAAGGTCAAACAGAAAAGACCACCTGCCATATATTCCCCCCACTTGCCAGAAATATTCGAATGAGAGCAAAAATGAGTTTGTGCTTTGCAAGTTCTTAGGGTGTGGTAGCCAGAGCCCTAGACGAAGAGTCAGACCATCAGTCCCCACCCCCGAGTGACCTCAGACAAGTCACTTCCCCTCTCTGGTCCTAGCCTTGACTAAAAAGGAGGAGTTGGGAGGGTTTTTCTTTGTAAGTCCTGCTCTCATATTCCCCTGCTCCACCTAACCCCAGCTACCAAGGCTGGGAGAAGCCAGAATCTACAGGCCAGCATTTCTCCAAGCATTCCCAGAGACAGCAGATGATCTCCAGCATCCCCAGCAGGCTGGGGCCAAAATGGGAGCACAGCCAGTGTCTCCACTCAGCACTGGGAGCCAGAAATCAGGCAAGATGCATAGGGTCCAGTGAGGGTCACAGCCCAGGACCCTCCAGCCAGGGCACCCCATCCTGATCCAAAGGTGGATTCTGCAGCTTTTCTCACAGATGTTCTTTTACTTGTAGGATAAAACATACAAGGCCTCTGAAGGAATCAAACACATGTGCTTCGGGGACCAGACCAGGACCAGGAGGAGAGTCAAAGATTCCTTGTTTGCTAACGCATGGTTTTAGTTAAGGTGTAACATGCCCACAGGAAGATGGACCTAAACATGTATGGCTTGATATATTTTCCTGAAAAGAATGCATCAGTGAAACAAGCACCCAGATCAAGAAACAGAACGATACCCACCCCCTGGGAACCTCCCACACGCCCCCTTCCAGTGACTAGTTCTTCAAGAATAACCACTATTCTGGCTTTTAGCACCACTGATTGATTTTGCCTGTTTTGAACTTTACGCAAATGGACTTATATGGTATGGACTCATTTGAGTCTGGCTTCCTTTGCTCAACATTATGTTTGTGGGCTTCCTCTACCAGTAGAAGTAAACATGAAAACCAGTGTCAGCCACGTTCACTTGGACTTGAATGAGGAGCTAAAATCAATACGACATCCCTGGGCCTAGCCGAGGGTGCTCACTGACAGCAGAGGAAGCCAGGTTCCATGTGTAGCTCTCCCCAAAATAAGAATGACCCAACCCTGTTCTTCCTGCAAAGACCCTCCCAGGGGGCTCCAGAGAAGGGAGGCAGGGCTTTGGTGCCCCAAACATACTTCAAGAGGCCGGAAGCTCTCGTTCATTGAACACTTACCCCGGGCCTGGCTCTGTGAGAAGCACCAGAGACTCAGCATTTCACTTAATCCCCCAACTATGGGCTAGGTACTGTTATTATTCCTATCTTATGGGTAAGAGAACGGAGGCCCAGAGAGGTTGAGTAAGTTGTCCTAAGGTTGCACAGCTAGGAAGGGGACACAAATTCTGATCTGTGTTGACCCCTAAGGCCAAACCTCACCAACACTCTGTTGACAGGGAGCTCACTGGCTGGCTCCGGCCCCCACCCATGTCTCCAACCTCATCTAGCACTGCTTGCCCACAGCTCACATTTCAGCAGCCCAGTCCCCAAGCTCTACCCCACCTCTGGGCCTGTGTCCATGCTGTTTCCTTTGCCTGCACATTTACCCCTCAGTTTTTAAGTGAACAGTCACTTCCTCTGAGCACCATTCCCTGACCACTTGGTCTCAACCGTGTGCCCTATTCTCTCTCAGTGTCTCCTGCTCTCTCCTTGCACAGCGCTTAACACATGTTATAAAGAGTTATCCCTTTGGTTCTCCTGTTCATGGGTTTAGTGTCTTTCTCCACCAATGGATCATAAGCTGCAAAAGGACAGGAATGTGTCTATTTGTTTACCACTGCCTTGGACAGTGGCTGGCACCCAGTAGCTCCTCAATGGCGTGTTAAGTGAAGAAAAGGAGGGGAGGGGAGAAAAATAGGACTGTCCCTTCTGAGTCGGAGCACTCGTCTGCAGACGGCTCTAGCTCCAGCCTATTTATGGCTCCTGGCCAGACCTTCCCCTCCTCCCTGAGCCTCAGTCTCCTCAGTTTTCAGATGAAGAACCTGGAAGAATGGATCTCCAAAGGCCTTCTAGCCCATCTGGCCCCTAGACCACAAATGCTAGGATGCCAAACCATTCCAAAGGCCTCAGGGCTCTGCAGCCTCTTACCCATTCTATGTCCAGTTAGCGCTTTAGAGATGTAGGGGGTGGTGGTGATCCAAAGCTCCCAGTCTGTGAGGTACGGACCCTCCCACCCTGCCACGGGTGAAGGACCAGCTAACAGGAGGCCTCTTGCAGCTCTAATAGCCCTGATACACAAAGCTGGGGAGAGACAGGACTAAGAAGGAATAATAGGTGAAGTCCCCAGGAAATGGTCTCGACTTCCTTCTTCAGAGCCCCCGACCCCGACAAGGTCCCTTCCAACTCTGCCCTTGGCATGTGCATGGCTGCCCCCACTGCAGGGCTGGAGCCCCAGGAGGGCAGAAACTGTCCGTGTCTTGTTCATCTTTGTGCCCAGAGCACCTAGCACAGACCCCTCCACATACGATGTGGCTGAGGTGAGGCTCCTGAATCAGATGCCATTGGAAGGGCCTGCCAGGGTCCACTCCTGAGCTTGCCACTTTCCCCCTGGTATCACCATATCGGAAGCACCTGGCTTCCCATTCAGAGGCAGACTCCCACTGACCACCTTTCAGCCTCTGGCCCTGTCCTCTTCTTTTACCTTTCCCAGGCCCTGGATTGCCGGTGGCAGTCGGCTAAGACAAAAGGCTGAGGACTCCTGCCCCTCCTGCAGTCCTTCGCTCCCCTACACCCAGCCAGCCAGTGAGCCAGGACAAGCACTCCCTGGACTGGAAGTAACACACCCTCTTCTTGAAGTAAGGCTCCTCTGGCTTTGAAGCTCTTTCTATTTTGTCTTTAAAAATAAAAGTAAGAGATGGGGCACCTGGGTGGCTCTGCTGGTTGAGCATCCAACTCTGGATTTCAGCTCAGGTCATGATCTCAGGGTCCTGGGATCAAGCCTCGTATCGGGCTCCACACTCAGGGGGAGTCTGCCTGAGGATTCTCTCTCTCCCTCTCCCTCAGTCCCTCCCCCTGCTCACATTCTCTCTTTCTCAAATAAATAAATCTTTTAAAGTAATAAAATTAAAAATAAAATAAATGAATAAAAGTAAGAAAATATTACGCCTGAACCCAAGAGCTCTACAAAGAGGAAAGGCCTCCTGTTTTGCATCATGGATACAGTGAAGGCTTTAAACCCCCAAGTTTTTACTCTGTTAGTGGTGTGAGGGGGTGAGGCTGGGTGTACTGGTAAGCTCACGTGAGTATGCAAGTGCTGTACTTATTGGAAAAGGCAGACAGGCGTGCAGGTACAAACTGGACTGGCCAAACCTTGGCTACGTCACTCGCTGGCTGAGCAGCTTCGGGCAACTTGCTTAAACTCTTTGGACCAGTTTCCTCACATGAAAAATGAGAGTGAAATGAATTTCAATCTCAGGCACTGCAGTGAGAATCAAACTCTAGGGCTGGTGTTCTGTAATAACTAAAAAACCATCTAAATATTAGCAGAGTCTAGAAATGGAAGGCAAGAAGAGAGCTTCGGAAAATCTTTTCTTTCCACACAGTAACCACTTTCAGATCTCAGAATTTATCCCTGGGGGCATTCTGGATTTAGCCAAGCTGGAAATGCACCCAATAACTCAGATCCTAGGAAGCTTCATGACAAGGCTCGTGAGGCCTGTTACTCAACGCGAATCCATTTTCAGGAGGATTACTTCACCTCCCATTCAGGCGCTGAGCTTATGAAACAAAATCCCAAGAGCCATGGAGAATCCCAAGTGGGACTCAGAGAAGAAAACCAACAGGCCAGGTCTCAGTCCAGAGTTTGGGGAGGGTTTTGTGAGAAAAGTAACAGATGAAACAAGACTCCTTTAGACCCGCCGTTACTGTCAGTCAGCCAGGCGATAGTGAAAACATAGGGCACAAGAATTCTAGTCCCTTCTGCTGGCAAGTTGTTATTTCCACGGAGACCACTATTTGCAGAGCAGCACGTGAAGATGAATTCCTCAGGATTGTTTTTAAAGCTTCCGAGGAGTCCCGTGACAAGCCCGTGCCTACCTGATCAAACGAAAAGTGCCCCAGGAGAGGCGCCCCCTCCACCTCTCCCAGCCTCTTACCTGCCCAGCTCCTCTCCAATGTCATAAAAGTCCTCCACCTTCTGCTGCTTGAATGTCTCCATGTTTGGACTCCTCATTGAGGCCTGGAGCACACAGCCCTGAAACCAGAGGAAATCTGAGGTCAGGACAGCTGGGACCATTGGCGCAAGCCTGAGTCTGGGCCTAAAAGTAATCAGCTGCGCAGGAGCTCATAATTTAACAATAATCCATGGCCCTAGTTCCTTGAGAACTACCCTGCCCAAGCCTATTCTCACCAGTGACTGACAATGTATGGTTCTTATTTGAGTTATATCAATTCGAAGCTGTTAGAGAGACAGGAAAGGAGCCCTCCTCGCTCTTTCAGATCTGCTCTGAACACGTTCAGCGAAACAGCCCCATGGCCAACTTCAGCGATTTGTTCTCATGAAATTCAGGGCGGCTGAGAAAAAGAGGCAGCCGTGAGGCAGGAGAGAGAGCGCTCATCTTTGGGTCAGAAGTTCTGGGTTCGAGTCCCAATTGCCTGGGTAAGTCATTTAAACTGCCAGACTTAGGGCACCTGGGTGGCTCAGTTGGTTGGGCGACTGCCTTCGGCTCAGGTCATGATCCTGGAGTCCCGGGATCGAGTCCCGCATCGGGCTCCCTGCTCAGCAGGGAGTCTGCTTCTCCCTCTGACCCTCCCCCCTCTCATGTGCTCTCTCTCATTCTCTCTCTCAAATAAATAAATAAAATCTTTAAAAAAAAAAAAAAACTGCCAGACTTAGCTTGCCCATCTGCTAAAGGGGTTAATCCTGTAAAAACCACAGCAAATCATGAAATTATTCTGTAAACTGGAAAAAGCAGTAGAAAGGTAAGGGATTATCATGACCTCAGCTCCCTGAGAGGCTGAGCCACCCAACTGCGAGTCTGAACTGATTTGTAAACTCTCTCACTCATCACCGCAAGGGAAAGAGGGACAGGAGTGGTGTGACAAATTATAGTGGGCACCAGCAGTCAGGAGCTGGAGGTTCTGTTTCCAGTGTTGTCCACAGCTAGCTCTGGGACCTCATCTCTTGTCAGAGAAGCCTCAGATTCCTCATCTATAAAATGGACCTAACTGCCCACCCAGAGCACCTCAGTGAGAGCCAGAGACAACCCCGAGCCGTGGGGAGTGTTTACCACCCCACCAGAAGAAGACTGTTTGCATCCTAACCTGGGATCTCCCTGCCCCAAGAAGCTCACCCGTTCCTGGGACAGCCACATGCCACCCTGGACAGCACCACAAGGGCAGGACCCAGGGCCCAGTCTGCAAATGACTGTGGATGTGTCTCTCAAGAGTCATTAGCAAAGGCCTCTCAGAGCTCATTTTGGCTAGCACTGGCAACTTCTCTCCAGCCTGCCAATCAGATACCAACCACACCCAGGGCCCCATGAGCCCCAAAAGACTTTTTCACCAGGCTGGGTGGAGGCACCATTACACAAGGGTGCGTCTCATCAATGCCAAGTGGCTGAAGCTGTTCCAACTCTCAGAGAATGTATACATTTCACACTCCTTCCTCCAGTGCTGCCCTCTATAACCATGACGCCACCTGCCGCCCTCCCTTCCATGGGACACACATCCCTGAAGTCCCCCAGGCAGAGCTGGCCTGGATCCTGGGCCTGACTCTCACGGTCACTTGCTGAACTCCTGCCTGTTGATGTCCATGGTCCATCAGGCATCCTCCCTGCTGCTCGGTCTTCACCCTGTGTTTGGCCTGAGCCCAGCAAGCATGGACTATGAAAAAGAGCAGGCTCCCAGGAGCCCCAGTTCTAGACTAGCCTGGGCGTGTAGTAGCTGTCTAACCCATACAGGTTGGCACCCTCTGGGCCTCAGTCCCCTCATCTGTAAGCGGGACTGGTAACATCTCCATCGTGTACTTCACACAGCCATGTGGGGATCCATTTGTGATAAGGGCATAAACTCCTAGACAGATAAGAAAGGTGATTATTACTGTTAATATCTGGCTCATCCTGAGCCACTCTTTGTGTTTCTGCTTCCCACAACAACGGAGACAAGCATTTCAATTCCCTTCTAGGGAAAAGGTTTTGGGATCCTCCTGGAAAGTTTGGCTTGACCAAAATCTGAAGCTAGACCACCTCACTCACCCCCCGCCCCCCCACAGCCTCCATCCTGGCAAATTTCCTGAGACTAGCCCAGAAGGTGGCAGGACTTCTATCTATCATCTTCTGTTGGGTCAGGTAGGTCCTGAGGGGTGGGGTTACTCATTTCACACACCTAGAGGGAAGCAGAAAACTCCAAAAAATTCTGTTGACAGATACCCTGAGACTCGTCCCTAGAACAGCTAAGATCTTCCATTTGGCAACAGGCTAGCTCCATTTGCTAGCAGAAGCTGAGCTGGATTCGAAGCAGCCCCAAATCCCCAACAAAACGATGAGCCCCCGCCTTGGGCTCCAGGGGTAGCCAGAGGCTGGGGGGGCAAGGGAGCCCCCTAAGGACAAACTAGGACCACCAGTTTGGCCCCAACTAAACTCTCCAGCCTTAGTAGACCTTATATCTTATATTTCAGCCAAAGTAGACCTTTCCCATTCCCCCAAAACTCCCACGCCTCAGCTCAAGCTGGGCCCTTTCCATGGAAGGCCCACCTGGAGAGCCCTCCTAGCAAAACCACTCCCTTCGCATAAGACCTGGCTCGAATGCTACCAACTCTGTGAGGTTCCATGACTCTATTTCTCATCACAACAGATTAAAATCCCCCACCCCCTTTAAATTCCCAGAGAGGTCTCTTCAGGGTTAGAGCTTTCGCATTTTGGCTCATAACTGTCTCTGTCTAACTCAGAAGGAGAAAACACAGACTCTACAGTCACACAGGACCGAGCTCGAATCAGCTCTATCACCTCTGCACACACTGAGCACGGCACAACTTTCCTGAGCTTCAAATGACTTATATGGAAAATGAGTCTAGATAACGCCTACTGTTGGTGACTTTGCGGAACAGTCAGAACTCTCAAACATTGCCAGGAGAATCACACTTTGGAAATCTGTTGGGCAGTTTCTATGGACATACCCAAGAGAAATGCATGTAGATGGTTCCCAAAATGGCCCGTGTTAAAATGTTCACAGCAGCACTATTAGTAATAACTACAAATCGGAAACAACCAAAGGGCCATCAATAGAATAGATAAGTAAACTGAGTTATACCCATACAATGGAATTATTCTACAACAATAATAAACTACCACAATGTGCAACCCACATGGATAAAACTCACAAGCATAATGTTGAATGAAAGAAGCCGGACACAAAAGACCACATACTGTGTGATTCTGCTTAAGCAAAACTCATCTATGGTGCTAAAAGTCAGAACAGTGGTCACGCCTGGGTGGCGGGGGTTACGTCTGGGACACAAGGGGAGTTTCTGGGTGCTGGCAGTGCTGTTTCTTGCTCTGAGTAGTGGTTACATGAATATGTGATATGTACACTTGTTTTGTATGCAATCAAAATTTTACATAATAAAAAATGAGATTGGGGCGCCTGGGTGGCTCAGTTGGTTAAGCGACTGCCTGCCTTCGGCTCAGGTCATGATCCTGGAGTCCCGGGATCCAGTCCCGCATCGGGCTCCCTGCTCGGCAGGGAGTCTGCTTCTCCCTCTGACCCTCCTCCCTCTCATGCTCTCTGTCTCTCATTCTCTCTCTCTCAAATAAATAAATAAAAAATCTTTAAAAAAAAAAAATGAGACTAAGATCTACATTATGACGAATGAGATAAACATGTAAAATGACCTACGTGGTGCTGGGATGGTTCCAACAAATGTGAATTCCTTCCCTCCTGCCTCCTGTCTTAGAGCCTCATGAGGGCAGTGGCTGTCACATTCTCACCTCTGTCCCCTTGTCGCTGCTGGTGTATAACAGGCACTCCCTAAATGTTTGTTGATTTCAAGGTAGTGGCCCAGCCTCGCTTCTCAAGGCCGCTGCTCGGCTGCCTCATCAGGGAAAAACAACGAGAACGACTTAAAGCCTTTCCCTCGTATCTCTCCCCAAGAGGAATTTGCATTTTATCAATTTTACCAGTTTAGGGACGTAAAACTAAAGGGGAGAAAGTCTGAGGGGGAATTATAGTCACCAGTTAGGAGCCAGCCCCTTCTGACTCCAAAAAGATGAAGCCACGTGGCAGAGGGGAGGGACACAGCTACAACTTTGGGTCAGAGGCACAGGATGTCTGCTCCAGACATTCCAAGGGCGAAGCCCACCTTAACACCCACATTTCTCTTAATGGAATCACTAGGACTCACACTCCTGCCCTCAGCCCTCATGGCAGGCAACACTTCTGAGGTTTAACACAGATTTCCTAGAACCTCACAAAAAGGGACGGCAAAGATCATCCAGGGGGGTTTTAGACTCTGCTTCAGGAGCCACCAGCATGAGGAAGGGGAGCCAAAGCATTTCCCCTTTATCTATACTATAGGTTGGGGTTCTGTGTAAGAATTCACTGGGCGCGGGGCGCCTGGGTGGCTCAGACGGTTAAGCGTCTGCCTTCAGCTCGGGTCGTGGTCCCAGGATCCCGGGATCGAGCCCCGCATCGGGCTCCCTGCTCGGCGGGGAGCCTGCTTCTCCCTCTCCCTCTGCCTGCTTCTTTCCCTGCTTGTACACACTCTCTCTGTGTCAAAAATAAATTAAAAAATCTTAAAAAAAAAAAAAAAAAAAGAATTCACTGGGTGCGGGAGGAGCTTGAAAAACCACTGCTGTCTGGTCTATAATCCACTTGTTTGACCAAAGAAGGAAATTGAAGTGCAGACAGGGGATGGGACCTTAAGTCACACAGCTAGCCTACTCCAGCTGTCTTGCCCGGGCTTCTGATGACAGCATCCTCAACCCCCCAAAGTGGCACTGGGGTTGGGGAAGCCAGTGGCCTCCAGAGGGAACACTTAGGAGGAGGCCTCCAAGGCTACAGGATCACCCCAGTAGGGAACTCTCTACCCTACTAAATCCTCTCACTCACTGACCCCAGCTCACTCTGCTGGACATTTGGAGATCCTCACCCCACCTCACCCAGTGTCAGTCAGTGAGATGGGACCATTGCAAGGGGGCAGGCATGATGGTCCTCTTACACCTCCCCCCCACATCAGGAATCATCACACTCAGGCTC